CGGACATTTTCTATTGGCCAGCGTGAGAGCCAACAGCTGACTGACACGACTGTTAACTAGCATGCTAGCATGCAAAATAAATCGAAAGCTGCATTCATCACAAGTGGCAAAAATTTAAATCTGCATGGCACTTTACTCCAATTGGCTCATTCGCTTGCTTAAACTCAACGTTGATTCTGATTCCGCAGAACTGGGTTGGGTGTGAAAAAGTATTTGCTGTTAACATTCTTTTTTCCTTCGCTTTTTCCAGTTACGAGTCCTTTTTTAAAGCTGATCGTTTTGTGTTCATTTTGTTTAGTTCTTTTTTCGTAACAGATTTAATGTTTAGTATAGAGCTTAGAAAAATTTCGCAGTGTGAGATAGGCAAGAAGTAAGGCATGTAGCAACATCAAAACGGCAAAGGGCACTCCTTTATCGGCAAGGAAGGGCAAAAATATTTTAAGTCAAGTGATAGCAATTGCTGCATGTGTCGTACGATTTTTGAATCAAGCACGGGCAACGCTGCTAGTACTATATATATATATATATATATATATATATATATATATATATATATATAGGGTGATTTTTAATAAGCCGATATATATATGTATATATATATATATATATATATATATATGAACATAAACCCCGTATAATATATGGACTGGTGCCAACATTGCGTTAACCAGATAGTTTTAATAAAATTTAAATTGTGTAACGGTCAGTCTCTACTCAATACGTGAACATTACGTTATGCATGAAACTCCGAGTCGTGTTGCCGGTGAGGAATAATATATATATTTATTAGTATAAACGTAATAGCTCTGATATATTAAATCGAGCACTATTTTATTAACACCAGCAATTAATGTGCAATATCTTATATTCATTTATACACACACACGTCTGTGTCATCCACAGACAAACTGTTTCGCTGTATCACAGCTCATCAGTGTGGCTAGACATCCGACTGCCTCAAGCCAGGATCGAAACCCAACCGATTTGGCATCAGCCAAAGATTTTTCCCCTGAGCTATCAGCTGCCAGTAGAGAGGAATTTTTACGTATTTATTTTAGAATAAACACACCAGTAACTCACAGTTCTCAATTCCTCAAACTTTATATTAGGCGACGCGTTTCCTCCTTTGATGGACTTTATCAAGGCAAATGTAAGGATTTTATTTTGAAAGAATTATTTATAAATAAATATAAAAATTTAGATTTTCTAAATTTCAAATTTAAGAATACACATAGATATACTTCAGTGTAATTAACAGTCAAGGTAAATTATGGAGGATTCTAAGTGATATAATTTTATGTCTAATAAAAGAATTAGGAGTTTCAACAGCATATTTCGCCCACAATTCCCTACACAGCCCGAGACACAGACAGCATTCTACGTATAGGAGATACAGAATTTAGATTTTGCATAAGTTTAGTCTTGTACATCAACTGAGGTCTTCCCATTTCCCTGGAAATATCATGCAGTTCGCTGTACATGAGGATTTTCGGTGTCGTTTCATCGTATGATATATAGGGTGCGATGTCGTCTAAATTACACAATGATGAAAATAGACATGACTGGGTTTTCTTGCTTGTGTGGCATGGTGTAGAGTCCTGTTTCCTGGCATAGGGTCTTCCAACAGCCACTGTATTGAGCTATGACAGTACTACCTCACTGGCTACGGACCTGATTCACTTGGAGGGGTCGTTTTCAATCGTGGCCTGGATCTCACCAATAAATTCTGGAGTTCTTTTCTTATCAGAACGATCAGACGGAGCGTCTACTCAAATACGAGTATATATATATATATATATATATATATATATATATATATATATATATATATATATATTTATTTATATTTTATATAATATATATTTGTTTATATTTATATATATTTCTTTATATTTAGATCTGTCGGATTAATAAATAAAAAAATTCTTTTACTTTTATATATATATATATATATATATATATATATATATATTTCTTTATATTTATATATAATATATATTTCTTTATATTTATATATCATATACATATTTCTTTATATTTAGATCTGTCGGATTAATAAATAAAAAAATTCTTTTACTTTATATATATATATATATATATATATATTTATTTCTTTATATTTATATAAAATATATATTTCTTTATATTTATATGATATGTATATTTTTTATATTTATATCTGTCGGATTAATAAATAAAAAATTCTTTTAATTTATTTTTATATATATATATATATATATATATATATATTTCTTTATATTTATATATAATATATATTTCTTTTTATATTTATATATGATATATATATTTCTTTATATTTATATTTGTCGGATTAATAAATAAAAAATTCTTTTACTTTATATATATATATATATATATTTCTTTATATTTATATATGATATATATTTCTTTATATTTATATATAATATATATATTTCTTTATATTTATATATAATATATATATGTAGAGAGAGAGAGAAAGAGAGAGAGCGAGAAAGAGAAAGGGAGAGAGATGAAAGTGAAAGAGGGAGAGATGTAATTGCCTTAGATTAATAGCAGGCCAATGCTGTGTCCTAATCTCTAGGGTAATCAGTTTGATGCTGCGTCGTTTAAAATGGCCTTTTAGAAGACTAAAATGAGAGTAATATACAGCTTTCATAAAACAAAATAAAAAAAGGAAATGAAATTCGGTAAATTCAGTTCCTTTCATATTTTTGGCAAAATCTTCCTGCAATATCTGAAAACTATTTTTATTTTACATCTTTGGGTCGAAGTTCAAAATGTCAAGGTAACACAGATTTCAGAGGATACTTTTAATCACACCTTTAGGTTACATGGTGCTTATCTATGGAACTATCTGTCGCTCGTTTCTCCTGCCTCTCTTCCCTTTGCTCATACACACAAACATACACATTCACACACAGGTGCGCGCGTACACGCAAACAAAATGCCACCCATTCAACGAGCCATAAAAGCGTGTATATTTTGGAACCTTAAATACAGTTAGATGCATTCCATTCTTTCTCCAAATCATGGCTGAATATATGTATGTACGCATGCGCATCTTTGTCTTTTAGTGCTGGAATTCAAACTTTGAGTGCATTGTAGATTTAACATGATTTAGGTCAATTCCAATAGGTTAGTGTTTGGGAGTTTTTCGTGTGTGTGTGTGTGTGTGTGTGTGTGTGTGTGTGTGAGACAGAGGGAGAGAGACAGAATGGTGTGTGCTTAAACTCTTTTATTTTCTTGAGAGGTTCTTATAAGCCAATTCCTTTTGGTATAATTCTAATCTCTAAGCAAATCGAACCGATCTCTTGGACTGTAAATCCTTGTTATTCTACAACTTTTCAAAGAAAATTACTCCTAAAGAGTATTAAAAATCTGCCTTAAAGAATACTCCGATCATTAGTGAGTAGTTTTGCGGATGATACAACAGTTTACACAGGTGGACTTCCAACATCTGGAAGACTAGAACCTCACAGCTCATCATTCCTCTGGTATTTTCGGGGGTCGGCGAATATCAAATAATTCTAAACCCAAGACCCCGGGGAGGGAGTCCGTCCCCAGGCAGTACATCTCCTTCCGGGGGTGGCTGGGTTTATCTTTGAAGAATCTCCAAAAAGGGAAATTCCGAAAGGTCTTGGGCAATTTTTCCACAGTATTGTCGGTAAACCCACTCTAAACTTCAACCTTGTGTCACATGCGGTAACGACGTGGACGCGCGCTGAAAAAAAAATACAATCTCTCCTCTGACCTAGTCCAGTTGGCTCAATAGGGAAGTATTGTTCAATACCAAATTAATAACTTTCCACCACCACCCAGCAGACCCTGAAATTTTACCTATCAGGATAGATGTGTCTTCTTTCAAGGAGGTTCCTCGCTTTGAACATCTAATGGGGACTGAAGCTCTCCCCAAATCTTAAGCGGAACTCCGACCAGTTGCTAAAGATGCTCGGAAAATGGTCGGTTCATTGTAACGTTCCAATAAGTATCTGTTATACTTTATCTTTGTAAGAGGCAAACCAAACGGAAAATGGAATATTTCTGCCATATCTGCTCAGTTCTTCCTTGCCAGGCTTGATATGGCCCAAAAGCCTTCTACGCGGACTTGTGGGTGTTTAATTATTTTCTTTTTTACAAGCCCTTTCCCACAGATGAAATGTCGCGAGCCTCTCGTTGCTCTATGGCCTGACAGGCTATATTCCTTAGTCCCACCAGCCCCGACCTTTAAGACTGGGACCCGTCTAAGCCACGTACGCAAGTGGGTATCACCTCCATTTCTTTTAGTAAGGGGTAAGTTCTATTTGGTTAGCGTCTTCCCAAGAACTGCTGCTTCGTAAAACGGATTCCCGACGGCATGTGTTGCGGTCACTAGAATCTTGACCGCTTTGTCTAGAGTTAAATGTTATCTTTCCTACATAACCTCGCGAATTTTACTTCTTGCCTTTCTTTTTGCCTTTTTTTACTCTCATACAATAGCACACAGTAACCCTCTACCTTGAGAGGCTCTTCTATTAGGTGAACATTTGTATAAAAAAGAGCCATTTTGTTTCGAACAGTCAGGTGAAATGGCGTACCTAAGCTATGACACGTGTTCTGGGTGTCCTGAGTACTACTTAAAGGAGACATCATTGTATGGTCAAACGAGCTATCCTCGAATAGGTTAGCGTCTTTGCCAATCTTCAAGAGGACACACGGAATACAACCCGACGCTATCAGTGATTTACTGATTGATTGATTTGTTTTTTTTTACGGATTATCAACCCTTTTACAGATTATTTAAAGTCAGAAAGTACTTTTTAGAGTGTAAGAACTTTTGGATATAATACTGATTTACTGATGCAAAATCAAAAATAGTTAACCCATAGCTAGGGGAGACAAGAGTTGAATTCATACCTTTCTTAAGTGAATATAATGAACCCGGCTGGAACTGGAACTCAACTCTACAATTCCCAATTCTGTGTCGTTATCGATTACACCACTCGTATATTCAAGCTCATAGCAGCTGATATTCTCTAGCGGTTACGAACCTAAGTACTGACCAGGCTCGACTTTGCTTAACTTCGGTGATCGTACAAGAACTGGTTTTTCAGCGTGATAGGACCGTAATCTTACACCACCAGTGAGAGATCATTCCACAAGTTTGTTCGTATGTTAAAGTGTCACTAGATCAAGGGGGCCTTCGTGATCCTGTACCGAGAGCATTGTTGTCAGTTTGATATCTCACGAAGTTCTCAATGAATTTCTTATCACATAGGCTAGGGAACAATTTTGCGACATATCTACAATTTTCCCTTTTCGATTGATAGATTAAGCAATTCATGCCGCCAGAACTTTGGAAACGGCATGTGTACTGCTTGGCATTCACGCCGGAAGCTCCAATACGAACATTTCAGAGTGTTTTGATGCCAATCTGAGGACAATGAAGAGGATACAGAGAGAGTTGGATGAGTCTAATGGTGATTACGAAGGTACGGAAGCTCGAAAAACACATTCTGATTTGTTGGTGAGGGCCCCACACTCAACACGGAGGCCTGCATCAAGTGTCTTGCGGAGGTAGTGTTGCCCTAGATCAAAAGGGTTGCTGCTGGAAGACTTTATGTCTGGCAACAAGATTCTGCACCATGACACACAAGCAGGAGAACCCAGTCATGCCTATCAGACAATTTCTGCGACCACATCACCCCTTACATCTGGCCATCTAACTTCCCTAACTGCAACCTCTTTGATTATTATGTGTGGGGCGCAGATGAGCGAGAGACCAACAAAACTCCTTGTGAGCAGCAAAGATGAACTGAAGGCAAGGGTTGTAGCAGCATTCACCAACGTAAACAAGGAGACCGTCCAGAAGAGATGAAGCAGATTCCGAAATAATCTGGAGGCTCAGGTTGAAGCCAGTGGCGATTTTATTGAATAAGTCTACTTTTTAGTATTTCAAGATATTTTTGTGTAATTTTGGTAAATATATCTGTTAAAATGAGAAGTCAATGTTATTTTCATTTTTGCATAATTTAGACGACAATTTATCTATCGCACCCTGTATATGGCATGCATATATATATATATATATATATATATATATATATGTGTGTTTGTGTGTGTGTGTGTGTGTGTGTGTGTGTGTGTGTGTAGATTATTTTCAGATAGAGTGTATCTGTAAAGGATTAGAAGGAATAAAAGAGAGAAGACGAAAATACGTGCAAAAAATATATCCCACATAGCCTTGATAAAGTCCCTCAGAGGACGAAACGCATTGGATAAGAATTAGTTTTACGTCTTTTCTCTTTTTATTCATATATATATATATATATATATATATATATATATAATTCTCAAAATGTCTGTGTATGTATGTGTGTTATCGGATGTTGTTTATGCATTGCCACAGTTTTCATACGATTTCGATGGATTTTTTTTTTTTTTTTTTTTTTTGATAGATAATTGTTCAGTGCCGGTTTCGAGTCCAAATTGGCTGGAAAAAGTACCACCTTGAAGGTGAAAAACTGAAAAAAACTGATTTTTTACACGCAAAAATCAAAAGCAAAACATAATGTCTGTAAAAAACAGCGTACAATCAAGTTAGAGAGTTGAAATCCAACGCAAAAGATTATTAGGATTCTAGAAAAAACTTAATATTACAAATAAAAATTATCGTATATTATTATTATTACGTCCATGGAAGAGGCTTCTTCCCTGCAAGATTGAGAATGCAAAAATGGCCCTTTTTCAGCCCCCCCCCAATTCAAATTGTTAAAACATATTTGGGGGTGTGTTTCATTTGCACCCAATTGTTGTTTTTCGGGTGGGCTTTCTTCAAACTTAAACTGCTCCGGCAAAATTCCCAGTAATGAAACACCCGATTGAAGACGGGTTATACTGCTAGTATATATATATATATATATATATATATATATATATATAATTATTAATTTAAAAATATGATTCCAAATCGCGACATAAGAAGTCTCATGTTTCAAAACAAGAGCCGAAAACTTCAATATAATTATTTGAATTAAATTGAGTGAAAGTAAGCTCTGTTCCATCTTCAAGCGAAATTTTTTTTTGGAATAACGTATTTCTGAAATTTACGTGTTTTAATAATTCAGTTATTGAACAGAGCTTACTTTCACTCAATTTAATTCAAATAATTATATTGAAGTATTCGGCTCTTGTTTTGAAACATGAGACTTCTTATGTCGCGATTTGGAATCATATTTTTAAATTAATAATTATATTTATGCTCTACTTTTGTATCGAGCACTATTTTTTAAAATAATAACTAAAATACTAAGGGACTTTGGATTATTTACCTAACCAGTTCCTTCGTATTTTCTATATATTTTCACATATTATATATATATATATATATATATATATATATATATATATATATATATATATATATATAATTCTTTTTTATATATATATTATATGTATATAACTTTTTTTTTAGAGATTCCAAATATTATGAAGAGGTTGCCGGGAATTGGTAGCTTTACCTGTACGAGTTGCGAGTCTTGATGAGTGGCCAGCAATAAACACATAAATGTCCCCATCAAACGTACGTTTTACAAATCGACAAATGCGAAATATATTTTTTTCAAAATGTCTGTCCAAAATAAATGTTATTTACGATGACTAATTTTTCTCTTAACCGAACAAATAAGTGTTTAAAAATTGCAAAAAGCCAAAATGAAAAACTAAAATATAAGAATTTTTTTTTCTAAAAATCTATCTTCCCTTTTCCGGATTGGAAGGAGCAGATGTGGAATAAAACACATGAAATCCCCAGTTTGAAGCTGAGTGCGAAAAAAAAAAAAACAATCTTCCAAAAATGGGAGGAGGAAGGTGGAGATTTCTGATCGAGTTGTTTGTCAGTCTGAAAAAAAAAAGTGCCTCAGAGAAAAGCGATTTAACGAATAAACAGGCTCGTATTGATTAATGCAGACGATAACATGCAATCTTACATAATTAGTCACGCAAATCATACAAGTTGGATTTAAACCTTGAAAAGAACGCTTTCTTTTCCTCAAAAGAAAGGACTCACTTCAATGTACAGGAATTTTAATAGTAACAAATAATAATAAAATATACTTACTATGAACTTATTTACCCCGAGTTCAATGTGAAAAAGTAGACTGATAACCAAGTGGCTAGATGGTGATGTTGGTGTTCTTTCCTCTAAATAGTGAATTCTCTTGCAATTATTTACTAATGTCCGATAGATAAGATTATACTGTGATAGTGAAAACTTCAATGGAAAATCGATGGTGATAGTTGGAAGAGGCTCATTAACACTGTTAACTCTCCGGTGCAGGCCATTGAATCTCTTCGATGACGCGTTATTACCAATTTTTGAACAGCAGTTTATTTATCTTAATTCTGTTGTTTATAACAAGTCTCAGATTGTTTTTCTACGATCCTTATCAATAATAAGATTCCAGTGAAATTTGAACTTCACATCAGTCATCTTGGAAGGATTCCTGTTGGTTAACTTTCGTGGCCTAATATTTAAGGCGATGTCGCGGTAAAACAGTCGCCCAAAGATAAAATCCCACCGGAAGTTTATACTTTCATTCCGATTTGTAACGTTAATTTAAGGATTGATGGCAAAGTGGTTGGAATATTAACCTCTCGACCATCAGACCTGTTCGAATCTCACCACGGTCGATTTGTTAAGTGTGTGACTTAATAATTTCATGGTTGAGAAACAATCACAGTATAGGGCAACCATTGGGAAATAGAAGCTCTCGATGACTGTGCTAACACGAAGTCACACTAGTCGTTGTGACTAAGTGTTGAAGCGTACTGACCTGGTTCAACTTAATCACTCCAGATTGTATGCTCTCTCTCCCAGAAACTGTAACTAAGGTATGTTCAGCAAAGTTGCAGTGTAAACCAAATATTGCATGTGTCTGATCAGGTGTCTGCAACAAGGATGACCTAGCCAGCCTAGAATAGATGTGAATTCGGAAAAGCAAAAACTAACAATCTGAAAGTTCCTTTAAAAAGCAAAAGATGAAAGAAAGTTTAGTAAAACATTAATAATAATACAAACACCTCATCAAAAAAAGTTGCTTACTTAACGATCGTAGAATAACGATTTGGGGAAAAGAGACCACTCTGAACTATGATTTGTGTTTTTATGTCGATGCAAATCGAGAGTTAAATCATCTGTCCAAACGCAAATCTCTCTTGTGTTCGTAGATACGGGTTTTTATATTTCGTGATGTTTCCCCGATATCTATCTAGATGCGAGCTTTTAGATCACACGATACAAAAGCCCGCATCTACGAGAGACTTGGATTTGGAAAAACAATCTAACTCTCTCGTTTTACATCGAAACGATGCTAGACATAACTTTGATTTCATTAATGCCACCTTAATTAAAAAAGAACATAATTCTTTAAGAAAATACATTGAAAACATAGTAATAATATTATTACCAACGATAAACAGATGCCTAAAACATTACATTACATCGATATCTTTCTTTGAATTCATTCTCAAAGAATCTATCTAATACAAAGAATACGTGTTTAAAGAGATCAGCCATAAATTAGAATCATGTGACCCCGCTACGCTGGCTGACCGCACAAAGGTGAAGACATCAGAACTGCCACTAGACAGACATACATGCATACACAATTACGAGTACATATTACCATCCGATATCCACTAAAACATACAAGAATCTTCACTAACTTACATACATATAGAACTACCTACGGTTTTAATGCACCTATGAGAAGTGACCCAAAGAAAATTGACAATACCAGAATTTCTGTTTATTGTCTTTTTTTTTAATATCTGACGAAGCTTTAATAAAAGTGAAACATTGATATACGTTTTCTATTTGTTCTTTATGTTATATATATATATATATATATATATATATATATATATATATATATATATATATATATATATGGAAAAGGTTATAGTTGTTCCAACGAGAGGAAAATGTATATTTTAAAAAAGAGAGAAAGAGCAAACTTTTTTGGTTATAATGTGGTTTTGTTTTAGTATTTATATTATATTTTCGTATTTCTGCTACATGTGTTTCCGGTCTCGTGACCTTCTTCAAGCAAATAAAAGGAACAAAATT